AAAAAGAGTTTTAATCCACTTACTGGCTCTGTACCTCAGGCAAAGTCATTACCTTTTAGGCTTTTCTGTAAAATAGTGGTTATCAGAAAACACACTTCATATGGTGAATGTGTGTGCAAAGTACTTAGCAGTGTCCAGGACACAGTTAAGTGCTCAATAAATATTAAGTATCACCTCCTTTGCCCACAAAAGTCAGAATTTTTGAGAATAAGATTCTAGCTGAAGCAACCTTTTCAAAGTGAGCATTTTACAAAGGTAATAAATAAAAGTCACACTGCCAAATCTACTAAACCACTTGTTTGCCTTTAAAAGGTATTACATTAAGCCTTTTTGCTTTAATCTGAACAGAAGAAACAAGGCTGTCATTTTCCCATATTCAATCTTTTGTGGACTTATGTGGTTAAATGTAGACCATACCGGATATAAGCCTTTTGATGCTGTCCAGTTGTGCTGTCAATAGTAACTCTTCACACTTCAAGATTTCAAACTGTACTTCATACAACTGAAGTTGCAGATCATAATAATCAGCTTCTAACTGATCCAACCGAGCTATGGCTTCTGTACCACCCTGCAAACTCTGCATCTGCATTGAAAATAAAAATAAGAACATCTCTACATAGTGTAGACAAGAAAAAAAATCCAGTTATGATTAGAAATGAATCAGTATAAATCCATGAAGCAACTGTTCTAAGAAACTTGAAGATTTTTTTAAAAGATATAAAAATGATAATAATCAAAACAGTTTCAAAATAACTAGGCAAATGTGGTAAAAATAAGTTTTTCAAAGTTTATTTATATTATAGCTCATTCATATTTAGGATAATACATAATCCTAACTGTCCTGACATAAATATTAGTAGTGTCCCTTTCACCCTCAAAAATGGATGCTAAGTTATACAGTTAACCTTATGAGATAAGATGTATGAATAAGATTAGGCCATACTTGGATAGTTACAACAGAGGGTAAGTCTGATCAATCCCACACATTCAGAGCTTTGTTTTGCTCCATCACAGCCTGTCTAGCTTCTAGGATCTGGTGGCTGTAGAGTGAGGTGAGTGGAAATAGCATGATAGAATTACCTCTTGTGGAAATCCTTGCAAATCTACTGGTAATAATCACTATAGTGTTGTTAAGTAAATGCACTCAGGGTCCTACACTGAACCTAAGGTGGGATACAGAAGTTCTGGGTATGTCTCATGAAGCTGTGGGTAGTCTTGCATGAGGTCTACTTGGTTGGTTATTTGGCTTTTGATCCTGAAGAGAGAGGGAAGAGATATTGCCAGGTGTCAAAAGGAAATCACTATGGCAAAAGCATGCTTCAGATACTGGTTCCTGACCCCAATATTTCTATGGATTCCTATATGGCTCTTTGGATGAAGGCAGCTGACAGAATGGCTTTTCAGGAATCCATAAGATGTCAACTGTACAAGCACAGTTTTCTGGTATGAGAGAGTAAGCATTCCTCCAAGATATTATGTGTAAGAATAGCATCACTGCTTTGGCAGTTCAAGGTTCATGCTTAGAAGCTCCATGAGACCTTTAGCACAGGTATTAGTGTGTCCTGGGAGAACAAGTGCCATTGGTGAGAAGGCCCTTGCATCCCAGGAAGTGACTACCAGAGGGGCTGGGGGAGAAAAGGGGGAAAATGAGAGAGGTATTTAAGATCTCATGTGAAGCATCACAATACCAGGGAGATACTTGACTGATATTCCTGGGACAGCCATGGCAGCAAAGTCAGTGAGTTCTTATTGCTGAAAAATAATCCCTTCTGTCTGATGAAGTTGGTGAAACGTATTAGCACAAAAAAAGAATATGTTTTGAATAAGATTCTGCACTTTACTTACTAGATGTCTACAGTCTAACCCAATGACTAGAATGTTTTGCTGAGTAATTTCAAATTCCTTTAATAAAAATTTTGAACTGCAAAGCAATAGTTAGGCTGTGGTCTCACTGTGGAATGGTACACATTTAAAAATAACCAGGTGAATTAAATACAGTATTATTTAATAAATGTTACAAAAAATTTGTATAAATGTTTAATAAATTATCTAAATTGTAAGCCAGCAATCCCACTGTATTATGGCATTTTTTTACTTTATAAAGACAAATACAGAACAAACCCCAAATGCATTTAATTATAATGGCTCAGGGTGGGGTGGGAGTGAAAAAAATGCTGATATAATTAATTCTTGCTGCTTTTATCTTAAGTCATTAAAAACAGGAACCTTAGAGTGACTCTATCCTGAGACTCTAAGTACCACTTTAAATTATAAACATTTGTTTACATATTGTCTTGGGGCTCTGGCCCAGCTCTGGAGACCACAGCCACAGGATGCATCTTCCTGTTTTTTAGACCCACATTCTTTGAGAGAACATCATACAAAAAGTAAAATATGTAATGTTAGAAGGCTTTATTCTCTAAGTGGAGGATTATAATCACTTAGTTTAAAACTTTAGTGTGAATCTGTCTAAAAACCTTAATGTAAGACCAATTCCTATAAAACTGCTTGGGTCCAGGACTAGGCTGTCAATTCCATCTTCACTATCTCCGGTTCTCTTCAGCTAGAAGTGACCATTTATCTGCCACATTCATGATACTGTGCTAAGGATTCCACCCTGCACTCTCTAAGTCTGTTTCTCCCTTCCAGTCCCTTAGCTAAGGAAGGAAGCTGAAAGCCATTGAGGATATATACCTTTACAATGATCAGTTGCACTGACAGCATATTATAGTACTCTGAACCCTGCCTGGGGCCCATGTACCTTAAAAATACTTAGGAAGCATAGTGACACCAAAATACAGTCAATATCAAATATCAAACTGAGAAAGGAAGTAGGTATTTTCTTACAAGAAGTGGACTTGCTCACATTTTTCTGACTGAGTCCTACAAAGAGTAAGGGAGGCCAGGGGCACATCTGCCATGGCTGGGTTCAAAAGGAGGACAAATATCAGAGGCAGCAGTGCAGACAAAGCATCTGTTAAATCCTAACCTCTGAGAGAACGAACAGTAGGCAGTGGTGGGCCTTAGGAAGCATTAAAGGGGTACAGGCCCAGAGTAAAGAAGACTTTCATGGGATAAGCTAAAGAAAAAGGAGTAAGAGGCAAGTCAGGGAAACGTGGATGGCAAAATTGTGCTCTGAGGGTTATCTAGACTTCAACATGGAACTGAAAGCCTCAGTAAAAAGCATGGAGAGGTATGGGAAGGCAACATTGCTCCAAAATCAGAAATTTCCAGACGGATTTTTTTTCCTGGTACCAAACTTAGCTGACATCCACAGAACTAAGGGAATGGGACTCAAGAGTGGACAGAGCATTAATTCTGGACAATGGAGCAGTGCAGAGACAGTGAAGCTGGGAGTCATGGTTGGGGTGTCTTTGTTATACCTGAGGCAGTGCTTCCCTGGTTAAGAAGTCTAGAATGTAGGTTAAGTGTAGAGCATAGACACTCAAGTGCCAATGAAAATTACACTACCTTGAAATTTACTCAGCTCAACCTTCACCCTTCTAAATAAACTTTTGATATCAGGATATTAAGACCCTAAACCAAACTGACGTGCCAATGTAACCCAGGTAATAGCAGCACTACTGGAGCCAGACCCAATTCTCCCAAGTCCTACAACAATGGTCTTTCCACTAGACAAATATGTAGGGAGCACCATTCAAGTAAATATGGAAAAGGAAACAAAGAAAAATGTTTTTTATAGTAAATCTAGCAATGGAATCAAGTTATTAATCTATGTCATATACCACACAAAACATCATATACTACTGACCCAACATATACGACCATTTATTTCCATCATGCACAATGACACAGTATTCATGTATACCTATTTTGGCTGATTGTACTGTATCATGAAATGAGATAAAAAGCAATTTATACAAACTAATGCTGCCCATTGTCCTGTCTTGCATTCTCGTGTGACAGAAAACCCCATGACATGTGAGGAGCTATGAGAAACAAAACTTTCAGAATATCTGTGGTTTGAGTCATTCATTCAACACATACTCACTGAGCACCCCACCACTGCTTGAATTATAGAGTATGGCAATAAACAAGAAGTAGAGCAAGGGTTCAAAAGTAGTCATTAAAACCATATACAGCATATGAGAAAGATTAAAGGCAAGCTCAGCAAGTTCTCTATCAAGACTATCCCTTGTATGTGGAAAAGACTGAAAGAACATGAAACTTAGAAGCAGACACATCTGAGTATAGATACAGTTTCCTTCCACCAATGAGAGTTGCACAAATATGGATAATATATAGAAAGTCAACAGAACTGTTTGTAATTCCACATTTTGGAACTCTTGGAAAACTAAAAATATCCACAATTTCTTTTATGTCAAAACTTAATCTCACAGTCCATTTGTAGGAAAGTATGACCTGAATTATGTGAGTCCCTATTTATTCCATTCAGTGCAAATATCTATAGCTGTCATTATTGGAATATTAACACTGTTCTGGAAGTTATATGCCCTAAATTTCCTTTCTGAAATCTGAAAAAAAGACTTCTCAAACATATCTGGCCTCGAGGCTTCAAATAACAATTAATGGGCTTGTAGCACAAAGGATTATGTTTGAGAATTAAACAATATACTTAAAGCCTGAAACACTGAAATCTTTTTACTTTTTTCGTAACCACTACCAAACTGTAGTTTAGATGGCTAAAATAGAATTTCATAATTAAGTAATAAATTTAAAACTTTTGGAATAGTACCTGGCTTTTTGTTCATAGAGACTGAAATTTTTAGTATGAGGTATGGAACATACTCTATCAATCTGCTTATTGGTAAATAAATGAAAAAACAAAGGGGTAGCCTATCTCACTGGTTACACATTCTAGCTGCCCCACCTTAGTGCACATTGTGTCCACCACATCAACATTCCTTGCTGTTGAAACTTTTTGGCAAGGCCCATACCAAATTCAAGTAAAAGTCTTAACCATAGAAATATTTTTCCCATCTTTGTATTCCCTTCCTTGTTATTTGCACAATATCTAAACAGAATAATAATGTCTAACATTTACTGAGTTCTTACCCTATAAAGGCACTATGCTAAATACTTTACATAATTAGTTCATGGAATCATAGCTCTCCTAGAAGTAGTACATTAATTATATTTTATGGAGAGGCTAATTCACCCAAGGTTATATAAATGAACTTGCAGAATTGGGATGTACAGAGTTACACTGTCTAGTTTAGTATTCACAGGACACATGTGGCTATTTAAATTTAAAAACTCTGTTCCTCTGTCACATAAGCCACATTTCAAGAGCCAAATACACATGTGGCTAGTACCCTATTGGAAAATGATGATATAGACAATTTTGGGTACAGAACATTTCCATCATTGTAGGAAGTTCTATTAGTGATTTTTAGTAATATTTAGACCCGAAGTTCATGCCCAGTATGGCACACTATAAATGTCTAATAAATACTTGATGACCTAAATAAAACTGACTTGGGATAGTATAACCTTAATTAAATGTAATTTACTCTTTTAGGAGAAAGACAAAATTATGAAATATAAGGAACTAACCTCAGGATTGATATATATTCAGCTCAGTATTCTAGTAGTTCATGT